CCACCAGCACCACCACTAGCACCACCACTAGCACCACCACCAGCACCACCTGCACCACCACCGCTAACACCTCAACCACCACCAGCACCACCACCACCAGCACCACCACTAGCACCACCACCAGCACCACCACTAGCACCACCACCAGCACCACCACTAGCACCACCACCAGCACCACCACTAGCACCACCACCTGCACCACCTGCACCACCACCGCTAACACCTCAACCACCACCACCAGCACCACCACCAGCACCACCACCAGCACCACCACTAGCACCACCACTAGCACCACCACCACTAGCACCACCACCGCTAACACCTCAACCACCACCAGCACCACCACCACTAGCACCACCACTAGCACCACCACCAGCACCACCTGCACCACCACCGCTAACACCTCAACCACCACCAGCACCACCACCACTAGCACCACCACCAGCACCACCACCAGCACTACCACCACCACCAGCACCACCACCAGCATCACCACCGCTAACACCTCAACCACCACCAGCACCACCACCACTAGCACCACCACCAGCACCACCACCAGCACCACCACCACCAGCACCACCACCAGCACCACCACCGCTAACACCTCAACCACCACCAGCACCACCACCAGCACCACCACCAGCAGCACCACCACCACCACCAGCACCACCACCACCAGCACCACCAGCACCACCACCACCACCACCAGCACCACCACCAGCACCACCACCAGCACCTGCACCACCACCAGCACCACCACCAGCACCACCACCAGCAGCACCGCCACCACCACCAGCACCACCACCAGCACCTGCACCACCACCAGCACCACCACCAGCAGCACCACCACCAGCACCACCACCACCACCTGCACCACCGCGGCTCTGGGAAGGGCGGTTGAATAAACGTCGCTCGCAGGCCACGCACGAGGATCGCTCAATCCCCTCGACGATGCCCCGCGACCTGTCCGTGCCGCCCAAGGCCGCGCACAGCACTGATGCGCATGTTGACGATTGTTGCTTCTAACGGGCGACTTTGAGGTCCCCGCTATATTTGCTTAATTTAATTAATCCCGCTCGAAAGCAGCGAGCCTGCGAGAGAGAGAGGAGAGAGGGGAGAGAGAGAGCGAGAGAGAGAGCGAGAGAGAGCCGGCCCACGGCGCGCGCGTCTGGGCCATGAAGTCATGCGGCCTCTATAGAAGAATTGCTCAAATGTTAGGGGAGAGGTCACGGAGCGGAGCTCGTATAAAGGCGAAGCGGCAGTGAGTCAGCGGAGCCCGCGCCCGTCTCTCAATAATGAGCTGGCTCCCAGCCAGCGCTGCCATGGCAACCGTGGCGGCCAGGCACAGCGCTCCTAACGCTATCTCCTAATCCTCAATAGAAACTAAAAAAAAGAAAATCTCATGAGAACGCAGCCCCTTGGTTTCAACAACTCGGGTTTTCAACAAAGATTGGTGTGTGTGTGTTGCGAGTCTTTTTTTTTATTCATTTGTACTGGAACCTCCCAGGCCCTAACTCTATTACACAAAACACTTCGGGTGCGTAGCGCCGTGTGGAAGCCCTGGCGCGGCGCGAATTCCCCCGCGTTTACGATTTCAGTGGCTGCACTTTACCCCGCCCGGCCCCTCGTGGATCCGTGACGGGCTCCGTCCCTCGGCGATGGGCCCCGTTTAGCAGCGATGGGCCCCGTCTCTCCGCTATGGGCCCCGTTTAGCAGCGATGGGCCCCGTCTCTCCGCTATGGGCCGCGTTTAGCGGCGACGGGCCCCGTTTATCAGCGATAGGCGATGGGCCCCATCTCTCCGCGATGGGCCCCGTTTATCAGCGATGGGCCCCGTTTATCAGCGATGGGCCCCGTCTCCGCTATGGGCCCCGTTTAGCGGCGATGGGCCCCGTCTCTCCGTTATGGGCCGCGTTTAGCGGCGATGGGCCGCGTTTAGCGGCGATGGGCCCCGTTTATCAGTGATAGGCGAGGGGCCCCGTTTATCAGCGATGGGCCCCGTTTATCAGCGATGGGCCCCGTTTATCAGCGATGGGCCCCGTCTCTCCGCTATGGGCCGCGTTTAGCGGCGATAGGCCCCGTTTATCAGCGATGGGCGATGGGCCCCGTCTCTCCGCGATGGGCCCCGTTTATCAGCGATGGGCCCCGTCTCTCCGCGATGGGCCCCGTTTATCAGCGATGGGCCCCGTCTCTCCGCGATGGGCCCCGTTTATCAGCGATGGGCCCCGTCTCTCCGCGATGGGCCCCGTCTCTCCTGCGATGGGCCCCGTCTCTCCGTGATGGGCCCCGTTTATCAGCGATGGGCCCCGTCTCTCCGAGATGGGCCCCGTTTATCAGCGATGGGCCCTGTCTCCCGGCGGTGTTTCCCCTCCTCGTGAGCCTCCAGGGCTCGCGTCGCGTTACGAGTCTCGCGGCCGTGCCGAAATAATGTGACATCAATGGCAGCGGTTTCTTTTAAAAGCTAATTGCCTGCAATGCAGCTCAGCCTTCACATTGGAGCCTGCTTCAATATTGATGGCAAGAGGGGGGGGGGGTGGAGGATAGAGGGGCATGTGGTGTTTTTTTGTTGTTGAGTGTGGAGGGCGCCCAAGCAATTATGAGAGGTGAAATGGGTGCTCGATTGCAGATGGAGCAGGCAGCTCCATCGCGTCTCTGTGGAATGTGTCGCGAGTCCACGACGCTGGGAAAAGTGGCGCAATGGATGCAGGGGTTGTGCAATAATTAATTCGTAGTTTTTCATAACGTTTGTATCCTCCGTGCGAAGTTCTATTCATTCGTATTTGAACCACATCTCGGGGCGCTGTTGTTTAATTGCGGCAATTTCCGGTGCACGGGCGCGTGCAGAAACATGAAAGCCACGAGATAAACCCGCATCCTTCTCCAGTCAACGGCCAATCGTTGTGGCCACGTCAGTGTGAAAGGACGAGTCCCGTGGACCTTTTGATGTCCACGGGTGGTGAGTTCTAAGTCTGCCTCGGTTACCCCATAGTGATGATAGGGTTTGTACAGCCACTGACTCGAGACATCATTTGAGCGACGAATTCTTGAAGTTTCATGTAGTTTCCCCAGATCATAGATACAGGATCACTCCTCTTATCCGTGACCCAATTACCGTGACCTCTATTTTCTGCGCGAGCCGTTGGATCTGCCAAAGCCCATGTTATTCGTGGCCCCTTATTATTGGCTGCTATCCGTGACTATCCGCTTTTTTTTCTTGCGGATAATTTGGAGTAAATTCGCAGACAACATCACCGTGGATGATAGGTATTCTCCTGTATATGGCTGTGGGTTGAGGTCGTGTGAATGGAGGAGGCATGGAGTGAGGAGGTGTTGAGTGACGGTCGTGGAGGCAGGAGGTGTGGATAGAGGCTGGAGCCCACGTGCCTGCCGTGGGCGCACGTGATCGCGCGTGCCGACGGAATAACCAACGCGTCCCTAGCCTTCAACTCAATTGAAGATTCAAGTGAATTGCCTCTGACGTAGGCACGTGCCTTTTTTTGTTGTTGTCGCTGCTGGATTGAGAGAATGCTGGAGGAGTGTTTCTTCACGGCGTGTGACTCCGAGAGTCATCGGCAGAGGGGTTCTGTGTGGCGAGTTTGCGTTCGCGTCTCTTTGCCTGATTGGTGGCACCTTCTGGGCCGTGTGCCCGCACGTTCCCGATTTGCTGGTTTTCTCCCCAGCAAGATGCCTCCGCAGTGGGAGGTTTGCATCTCACGGGGCCTCCTTTTGTGGTTTAACAGTTCAGTCGACGCGTAGAAACCACGCATTAGAGAGAAATACGCCATTATTCCTATCCCTAGCCATAATCCTACACCTAATGGTAACACATAATCCTACTCACAACCCCAAATCAAACCACTAATACTAACACGCTAATACTGCTTACCCATAAGCTTAGGCCTACATCTAATATCTACGCTTATCCGTAATACTCGGGGCTGCCTGGAAGTTACTGGAAGCCCGGGGCTGGAAGGGTTGGAATGCCCCCCTCATTAATTAGCGAGACAACAACAACAACAATAGGCTCACTTTAGGGTGCCCTCGTTTGCAGGAAGCACAGGAAGAAAGGGGGGGGGGGTGCTGTCTTGGGCCCTGTTTTGGGCGACCGTGCTAACACTCTGCGCGTCGCTCTCTGGGTGTCGGCCTGCACCGTTTCTTTTTGCTGCCTCATTGAGAGTAGCCCCGCGCGGCCGTTTTACACAGACCGCGTTATTTGGCTTCGAGCGTCTTTGAAAGAGGAACCCGGTTATAAAAGGATGCGTTTGAATTCAGCACGCTGTTTTGGATGTGATGAATGGTGTACGAAATTTTACAAGCAAGTGTTTCGTCCATCGTTTGGATCAATTTTTTTTAATATAGTGAAGGTGGTGTAACCCTTTTTCCCACGTAGTTATATCTTATTACAGTGTGGAAAGTGAATCGTTGAAGCGTGTGTGTGTTTTATTGAGTAATTATCACTGTGCAATGGACAGGCGGGTGTAAGACGTCTGAGCTGATGTAATCGTGAATGTTCCAGCGTGAGTTCGTTTTGTGACACAGGTGGGGGGTTGAGTGTCAAGGAACCTGGAAAACGGCATGAAAATAATCATCATATTTTTTGTTGAAATATGTGCTCCACGCGACACAAAGTACTAATCCGGGTTTTTTTCAAACAAAAATGTAAAGCTCCATTTGTGAAGTGTGGGTTTTTTTGCGAGCATTGATCGCCAGCCATTAAAATGTTCACTAACATGTCTATTAATCTCGCACAAATGTGAAATGTCTCTCTCTCTCTCTCACTCTTTATGTCACCATTTTGCTGATATCAATTTCACGAAGATGGCCGCCTCAGACTGCTCCGTTCGTTTCCCTCCGGGGGCCCTCTCTCTCCCTTTTTTGTGAACCTCAAAAGGACACCACCGGTGAATACTTTTTGACGCCTGTACCTTCTAAATTACTTTTTTTCACGATCTTGATCTTTTTTCCCCCCCGTTGTACTCCCCGCTTTTACATCCGCTCCAGGAGCCAACGCAAAGAGAGCAGCAGATGATTTAACAGCTAATGATGGCGGGCAAGATGCAGGTATAATTGTTTTTTTTTTGTCCAAATCGCATGATGCATGACAAGCGCCTCGTGCCGTACGCTTTTTCTTGTCTTCTAATCAAGTGCATCTTTTTTTTGCACTTGAGTCTCTCGTGAAAATGAACAATACGAAACACATCGGAAACCATGTCTCTACGTTTTTGTGTGTGTGTGTGACATCGGGAATTTCAATCGCCACCCGCCGTGTGCAGTGTTATGCTCGCGTGGTTTGTTATTTACTTGAGCTAATACCACCGCCGCTCTGTGTTTGGGAAGGTTTGTGCATGCTCGACGTGTTTACATTTTGACAATGCGTACCACCGTGTTTGTGCTGACGAGCCGCTCTCAAAGGGGATCTCGTGAAGCCCGGCCGCGCACTCTCCGGTGGGCAGCCGGTCACGGGGGGCTACCCCCAACCCCACCCCCAACCCCCACCCCCCACCCCCACCCCCCACCCCACCCCCAACCCCCACCCCCACCCCCCAACCCCCACCCCCAGCCCCATCCCCACCCCCAACCCCCACCCCCACCCTCCACCCCCACCCCCAACCCCACCCCCCCCACCCCCACCCCACCCCACCCCCCCACCCCCCACCCCCCCCACCCCCACCCCCAGCCCCATCCCCACCCCCAACCCCCACCCCCACCCTCCACCCCCACCCCCAACCCCACCCCCCACCCCACCCCCAACCCCCACCCCCCCACCCCCACTCCCAACCCCACCCCCAACCCCCACCCCCACCCCCCACCCCCCACCCCCACTCCCACCCCCAACCCCACCCCCCCCAACCCCCTCGCGGACCGGCAGCTCCTCACCGGCCCCTCGGGGCCTCCGCTTGACAATCGAGCGGGGTCCACAGCGAAGTTGGGTTTCTTGGCTCCGGCGGTGTCACAGGGCGCCCGTTGCTGTCCCGCCGATGCCTCCAGCCCCGTGGAGGCCGCTGCGCCACGGCGTGGAGCGAGTAGCGGGCGGTCGTCGTCGGCTTCGCAGCGTCAGGAGGCGTCCCCGCGTCTCCCGCCTCGCCCGAGAGCGGTGGCACGCGCCACTTCTCTGCAGCGCGCCGCGTTTGGCATTATTTTCCGAGTCATCCTTTATCACACATTTCATTAAAAGAACGGCAACAATCCCCCCGTGTTTTAAAATAGCCCACGGATGCAGATATCACAGAATTACCTCTGAGATCCCTTGAAGTGGCCTCCTGTCTGCACACTAGGGGGGGGGGGGGGGGGTGCACACTCTCCTACACGCAGCTCTATGGACGTATCTTATTTGATCACGTGGCAGTCAAACCGAAATGTATTTTATTAATTCTGAGAGGTGGGTTTTGCCCAATTTAAGGGAAAGACCGAATTGAATGCGCTGATCTTTCGTGTGCCAGTCATTGGTGACCAGCCTGTCACCATGAACTCGCTACAATCGAAGGCAGGTGGTTTAAATCTGCAGCCATCGTCTTAATGATCACGTTCGTAATGTTTAATAATATTATCTGAGCCGCACTGGGGGGGGGGGGGGGGGGGGGGAAACCGGGCATGGCCGTTGGCGCTTTTAAGTTCGTAAAAATATCTCCATACACTTGAGCTCTAAATGACGGCCAACATCCACATTGTTCACGCGAGGGGCTGACAGGACAATGAGGACCTGTACACGTGCCCCCCCCCCCCCCATCTAGTTTACCTCCACCACTGCGCCGCAGAGGAATGTCTATTCCGTGTTTATTTTTGGTGAGCGGAGCTTGGCAGGATAATGGGGTTGGCGCACAATCTCGCTAACAGCAATGAGCACCGGGTTAGAATGTGCGGCTGCGTTAAGGAAGGGTGGCAAGTGAAGTGATGGCTTTGACAAACAGCCGCTCCTAAGAGCAGCGCCACGGGAGCGCCGCTGCCTCTCTGAGAGCAGCCGACAGGGCCGCACCTTCTCGCCTCCGCTGCGCTGCGTTCCGTGGGCGGTGTTGCCGACGTCCAGAGAGAGAGAGAGACGACGTCGTCTTGTCGGGCAGCCGGAACCTCCGCGTTCGTGCCTTTTCGCGGTCGCGCGTTAAGTCACCGGGCGGCCGGCCCTTTAATTTCCGCCGAGGCTGCTGTTTGTTGCGAAGCAGTCCGCGTATTTACGTAGCTGAGAAGAAGAAATACCCACGGGGCCGGCACGGCGCCGTAGCCGCATGACAAATGGACTTCCGTGGTAACCGCCTCTCGCGCGTTCCCTGGAGTCCCTGCTCTTGGAGTCCAATTGCAGTGTCATCCCCCCTACCCACCGCCCCGCTTCGCTTGCTGCAAGATTCCCGTGAGCGCGCAGTCACTACTCGGCTGCTGCTGCTGCTGCGAGCAGATGATGCCAGCGTGCGCTGCTGTCAGCGCCTGATTATCGTCAACGTAGTGGGCGACGCTCTCGCAGTCGATCGCAGGCCATCCCCGGTGGGCGTTCAGGCTACGTCGGAAATAAATCATTACGATAATAATTCCCTTTTACTCATTTACTCACCCAGCCTCGGTGATGAGGAACGTTCACGGAGTGCGACGCCCTCCGATGTCAACCAAATGGAATCGGTGACATCTCCTTAAGGTGCAGCAAGACGCTGCGCCTACCCCTCCAGATGCCACGCGTTGTTTATTCTTCTGTTTACCGCGGCGATCAACCCTCTCTCGACGCCACGGAGCTCTTTCAAGGTCACTTTTCCCCGTTGGAGGACCGCATCAGCCGAGGTCCGGCCACTGGACGATCGCTTCTTCCGCACGAGGGCAGAATTTGTCCAGAGAAATCTCATCGGATCGCGTTCTTCTGGATCTTATGGATGTCGATCTCTCCCAACGGGCGGATAATATCCTGAAGCTCCAGTCCCTCACACGACGCAACCAGTGCCGGCTCCTCGGCTCCAGAATGTCACCGAGCATGCGTGGCTCGAAGCGGGACCCATCGATCACAGGCCTGAGTCGCACCTCTCACACCGGCTCAGTATTGTCTTGAAGTGGACATCGTCTTTTCAATAAGAACTCTCAGCAAGTTGTGTAGGACCGTGGCTGAGATGAAGCGACATTCGCGAGATGTGCCACCCATCACGAACTGCGTCTCAATCCTCTGCTCCTGGTGATAGTCGCGGCGGCATCATGTTCTATAGGGCATTCCAGACCTCCCTTTCCAGGCGACAGACTCTAGCTCAGCCCTTTCCCAGGCGACAGACTCTAGCTCTTCCTGGGGAATTCCCAGGCGTTCCAATGCCAGCCAAGTGACATAGTCGTCCGGCCGGCGTGTCCTGGGCCGGCCCCGGGTTCTTCGCCCAGTGGGACGTGCTGCTGCCCGGTAGAGTTCCTAGGGGAGTCTGCCCAGGGCATCCTTTACCAGGTGCACGAACCACCTCAACTGGCTCATCTTGATCCGGAGGAGTAGCGGCTAGACTCTGAGGCTCATTTAAAATAATAATAATCGGCCTTTGGGCCATGAGGGCTGCATCGATTGTCAACAGTTCTGTTCTATCTCCGTCGAACTGTTAGACGGACCTTGAGGCCTCGTTCGAAGAACAACAACAACAAAAAAACCAACCAACGCAAAAGGTGTGAAGACAGAGCCATTACAAAAAAATCGAAACTGGAGCATCACACACACCGTGAATATTCATTGTGAGTCCCAAGACACATCATTAGGAGGGTCCTGCATTAGAATGGTTGGCGCATTCCAATTATGGCATGTGGGAGGACATCTAAGGGCCTGGAGAAAACCCACCACGCACAGCAGGGGATGACATAAAATCTCCGCAAAGATCGATTTAATCTGCGAGGAGGAGGTGGGGGTTCCACTGGGACGTATTCAGTCGATTAGCTGCAGGAAGTAAATCTGGATTGGGGAGTTGACAATGAAAGAGAATGAGTTGAAGGAAGAGATGGAGGCAAGATTATTGTGGAAAAGACCGAGAGGAAGAGAAAGAACGACGACGCTGGACGATGATCAACAAGGGGGCGGATGTGCGGACAGACGAAGAGAGCAGTGGAGCATAGAGCGACATGGAGGATGAGAGTCGTCCCTTGGAGCTGTCTACGGACAGCACATGTCACAACATTAAATTTTAGTCCACAGATAGATCTAAGGCAATGAATTATTCTGCTGACCGAATGCATTCCGGTTCTGCCGTCCTATTAACCTCGCAGCCCTCCGTCTGCAACACCTGCCCAGCCCTGGTGGCCACCTATTTATGTACGTGTAAAGTAGTAACTTGGCGGGAGACGTCTTCACGGGTAGCACACTCTTTTTATTGACACAAAACTGTTACACGGGTGACTAACACTCACCCAGCCCCTTGGGTGACTAACACCCACTCAGCTCCACGGGTGACTAACACCCACTTAGCTACTCGGGTGACTAACACCCACTCAGCTACTCGGGTGACTAACACCCACTCAGCTACACGGGTGACTAACACCCACTTAGCTACTCGGGTGACTAACACCCACTCAGCTACTCGGGTGACTAACACCCACTCAGCTACATGGGTGACTAACACCCACTTAGCTACTCGGGTGACTAACACCCACTCAGCTATACTGACACGGGCTCTTACGCCCCGTAGCCTTCCGGAACACACCCGGCTGGGGTGTCCGTCTCGGCTCTGGGTACCACCGTCCCGACCCACGCGGGCGTCGGACTACGGGTTCCCCAGTCTCGGCTCCGAGCCACACAGGGCCCCGGTCCCGACAAGGACAGCGGGACTAGGGGTCTCGGGCCACTACCTCCTCCACTCCGTCTTCGGTCTTCAACTGGTTAACACTGACCACGAGTGCTCTCGCGCGTCTCCCTTTATACCCCTCCTGCGGACGTCGCTGAGAGCACCCATCTTATTGACCAATCACTGCGCGCGCTGGCTACGATCCTCTTTTCCCCGATTGTATCAGCGCGCCTCACCACCGGCGTGCGCGTTCATACCACGCCCACATCGCGTGCCCAACCCCGCGCCCCGTGATCCATCACTGTCGGCGCACGTCAACACCACCACTACATCACCCCCTACCACATA